CACACCCCCCCCCCCCCCCCCCCCCCCCTAGTAACTTTTCTGGTTTTAACAGCACGCCAATTTAACAGTGGGGGTTGGAGGAGGAGCATTTACCTCCTTGCACAGGGTCTGCTGTAGTTGTGTGGCTACAGTATTGTATGGCAGCTGAGGGAACGAGTGTAGCTCCTGTTGCAGCAGCTGTTTTTCTGGGGACTCTCATGCTAGCAACTGGATCCACTTGTCCCCAGAGCCCCTCTCTACTGGCTCCAACAGCAGGGGAGGGGCTACGGGATGAACCACAAAGCATGGCTCCATGTTGCCTGCCCACATGTGCACAGCAAAAAGTGCTGCTTGGAATGCAGGGGCAGCTGGCACAAAGGCTGTCGGGTAGGAGCAAGAGTAGGTGGTTCCCAGAGGAGCAGTTATTGGTACTGCTTGTCTATGGGATGCTGAGGTAGGTGTGTGGTACCAGGTGGGAGAGGAACAAGCATTTACTGTACTTACTTGCATACTTTCTTTCCCGACTACAAATTTAATGCTTGACTTGTCCAACATATTACTTTTAAAAAACAGTTCACAGATATGGAGAAAGTAATTTGTTTATGAAACAGTTATTGCTCAAAGTCTTTCATAAGGCTACTTGCCATCCTTTGTAGGCACTAAAATTCAAAGGAGGGAATAGACAAATAATGGTCTTTTAAAAAGGCTTAAAACTATGTATTGGTTAAGTACGCCTTTGAATAAGTTTATACTTTTCCAGTTTGTAAATGCTGCTTCAAGATTACATTAAGTATGATTCTGTTTTGGTTCCATTATTTTTATGGCCTACTTAAATATTTATTTGGATAACAAGATGTTTCTTGTGCTGTGTGTGTGGTTTTGTTTGTTTGTTTGGGTTTTTTTGTGGCGGGTTGTTTTTTTGTTTTGAACAAATTGTAATGTGGTGTATTAACCTTTTTCAGAGTATTGGCATCCCTCAATTTGCCTGCTGCTATTGAAGATGTATCTGGTGACAGCGTTCCCCAGTCTATTCTGCAGAAGTCTAAGTCTGTGATTGAACAGGGAGGTGTTCAAACGGTTGATCAGCTGATCAAAGATCTGCCTGAACTACTACAGAGGAATAGAGAAATCTTAGATGAAGTAAGCTTTAGAAATAAATAACAAACTGATGTTTTCCTTAACACACAAAGCTTTTATGGATCTGCCTCTGACTCTTTGAACAGCCCATTAACACACTCATAGTTAAAATTAGAACGCAGGAATTAGGACCTCCTTAGCTATCTGGTCCAGTCCCCTGCATTTACAGACAGTCATTGATCCAAGTTTCCCTGAAATTGGCCCTTCAGATCCTCGCACAAAACCAAGCACATCAGGAAAACTCTACTGTCTACCATGGGTAAAAGCAGGGGAGAAGAGGACACTCCCAGTGCCATATTACTGCAGGAGCAGGGCACACCATACTTACTTGAATACAACATACCCCTAAATAAACCATGCCCCTTATTTTGGGAAGCAGAAGGAAGCAAAAAAGATTCTGTTCCAGAATCATAATTGCCATGTCATTGGCATAGCGTGGCTGAATGTTGAACTCACCATGGCTGAATGTCCCCTTGTCAACCTAACTGACTTTCTAGCTGCAGCACCAAAAGCTTTTAAGTGTAACCCAGTAACAGCAGTTGTTGAATTGTTAGAAACTGGCAGCTGAAAAAAGGAAAAAAAAAAACCCCGCTTAAATAAACCCCAGACTTGCCAAGCCTAAAGATCTATATTGGTGCTTCTCAACCTCTGGGCCGTGGCTTGGATCTGGCCTGTGGGGCTTCCTGTGCATCTGGAAATTTGGTGGTGAGGGAGTGCTAGCGGCATAAATTGCTCCTAGAGCCAAGGCAGTTAATGCTGCTACTGTCCCCTGGCCACCAAATTTCCCGACCCATGGGGAACCCCATGGTCCAGATGACATGGCCCAATTTGAGACAATGTCTGGGGTTGTGCTGGCACATTTGATTTTACCCGTGCACTGATCCTGCCTGGCCCTACACCACTCACCTAGCTTATGGGGCTGGAGAGGGTAAGTACCCCTGGTCTATATTCTAAAATATTTGTTGTAAAATGGCTGCAAAACTATAAATATTTAGGAAAAAACCATGATTGAAGTAAAATCAAAAGCTGATATATATATATATATATATATTTATTTATTTAACTCTTAAAGGCACTGAGATTGTTGGATGAAGAGGAGGCCACGGACAATGATCTAAGAGCAAAATTCAAAGAACGTTGGCAAAGAACACCATCTAATGAACTGTACAAACCTTTGAGGGCAGGTAAGAATCATGTTTTCATTCCTTTCATTCTGAGGCTGCTCTGTGAATGACCTTTCTCAGTTTGTAAATTAAAGTAGCCTTGAATGATCTGATATTGCTCCTAAGGAAGTTAGTGTAGCCTGAGAGACTTGGTCATACTTGCCTTATTCCAGCAAGGTTTCTATGTGGAATCAGACTGGGAGTATTTGTGTAAGAGCTGCTCTGCTTGTTCTGTCCCAATATAGGACCCCCTTGCTTTAAGGGAGGGTTGCTCAGCTTCTGGCTTGTAGTACCATGTCACTCAGCTTGTAGGGCTCTCCATGGGTCTATAAATTTGGTAGCAGGGAACTTGCACCACTGTTTGCTGCCAAAGCTCTGGACCTGTAGGGAGTCCTGGGTCCTGCGCACTGGATTAGGTGCCTAATCCCAGCATGCAGGGCCAGGTGGACATGGCACCAGGCCCTAGGGCCCAATCCTGGTGTGAGAGGCCAGGTGGGGACAGAGCCAGGGCTCCCAGGATCCAATCTTGGTGCACAGATAGTTGTAGGGAGTGGTGTGGGGCACCTAGGGCTCAGTTCTGGCATGTGGGCCAGGGAGGGGGCAGTGCTAGGTTCTGGGGGGCAGTTCAGCCTGTAGATGGGCCCCATGTCGTTCATGTGGTCCACAGGGCCTAAAGGCTGAGCACCACTGCACTAAGGTAATTCTTTTTTAGCTGAATATGGTACTTTTGTGGCCATATCCCATGAGTGGTATGCTGAAACCTGTCTGCCCTACATTAGAGAATCTTGTCTGTTTTGCCCCTTAGACTGTACTGTTACGTGTGGTACTATTTGTGTTTTCAGTTTTAAGAATCCTACGCATGTTATTGCTTTATTAAAAGTTTGGGGTTACTTGTCTCTTCCAAAGATACTTGCCTGATAAAATTCAGTTTTAAATAGCTATCTGTGTGGTTCTTTATGGTTTACCATATATTAGCTCTTGGTTTGATTGTTGTTGTTGTTGTTTTGAAGCTTGTGAAGAACTGTTAGGATAACCTTTTGAAAACAAGCAAAACTGCTTTAAAATATGACATGCAATGTAGTGTACTGAATGCCTTGGGAGTACATCTTTGAAGAACCGACCAAGTTATAAAATACTCTTTAAAATAGTACTTTTTTCGGGACTTCTAAGTGCATAACAATTTGCTAAAAAGTATGAGAATTATTATAACATAAAACTTGGATAAAATCACAGCTTTGAAATAATTCAAACAAACATCTTTGTTTCTCCTGCCAGAGGGAGCCAATTTCAATAATATTTTGAATAAAGCGGTGCATGCAGATGGGCAGGTTAAAGAACGCTATCAGTCTCACCGGGAGACAATTGCACTCCTCTGTAAGCCAGAACCAGAATTGAATGCAGCCATTCCTTCTGCTAATCCAGCAAAAACCATGCAGGGAACTGAGGTAAGAAAATTAAAAGGTGCATTGAATATAAATAGATTGGGATGATAATTCTGCCAGGTTCTATTGACAGCTTTTATTTTAAAGAAAACATAAAATGTCTCCTATATGAAATTTCACCAGATTTTACTGTGTATAGGTTGACACAGTGCATAAATCAACCCCGTATTTCTGTATGTAGGATTTTTGTAGATTTGATGTGTAAGTCAACCCCGCCTCAGTGTGTGAGGTGCTGGAAGCCTGGGCAGGCTTGTGGGAGAGGCGGTGTGCTGGCAGCCTCCCAAGAAGTGGAATCAGGCCCCTGGGAGCTCGGGCAGTACATGGCATTGCTGTCATGCCAGACCTGGGGGGTGCCGCTGCCATGGAGGGGAGGACCAGGCCCCCCTGCAGCTCAGGGGCTGCCTGGCCTGGTGGCAGCTCACCCCTTGGCCCAGAAAGGGACTGGTTTATCCCAGGGGCAGCACGGGGTGTCAGGCAGGGGTGAGGAGGCTGGCCTGCCTGACATCCCTAGCCTTCCCTCTTTGCCCAATACCCCACACTGCTCCTGGGGCAAGCCAGCCTCTTCCCGGGTGGCACCAAGCATCCTACCGACTGCAGGAACCTTCTGAAGGTAGAAGTGGTGAGGGGCCCAATCCTGCTTTCGGCAGAGCCTGCCTACCCACCCCCCAGGGTTACAGGGGGGCCTGGTCCCTGAGCTGCAGGGGGGCCTGGTCTTTCCCTCTGGGTGGCCTGCCAGCAGGCTGTGTGCTGCCTGAGCTCCCAGGGGCCCAATCCAACTTCCTGGGAGCCTGCAAGCATGTTGCATACCTGTGCAGCAGGGTGCCAGGAAGTGCCGCTCACTGGATGGTGTATAGGTTGAGGTGGAAATTTAAATACTTTGGCTTCAAACTTAGAGTTACACACTGTGAAATACGGTAAATGTGGGAAATATCTGGCACATCTTTAGTTACTTAATAGCCTTGCAGAGATTGCCATTAGCATATTATATGAAACTACTTTACAATGTTCTAAAGCTCCTTCAAAATTGGGAGAAGGGATTTGGTAAAACAGATGTATTTCTATTCTGAAGTTGAGTGTAGAAGGGAGCTAAACAGATTGTAGTTCCCTAAGACTGATGCCACAGCTAAAGGAATGTAGAAGTTAGTCTTTTGTAACTTGATGTGATTTATTTATTTATTTATTTATTTATTTTTTGAGCACTTGTATTCATTTACCTAAAGGGGAAAAGCACTCGCTAGTCATGTGAAGAGTTTCATAGATTCATAGATGTAGGGTCAGAAGGGACCTAAGTAGATCATCAAGTCCGACCCCCTGCCCTGGGCAGGAGAGAATACTGGGCTCATATGACCCTAGCTAGGTTAGTTGGTCCATTAAATGTTTTTGGCTGTCTTTGTTTCCATCTTAAAGAAATAGAACAGATGGGAGGAGAAGAAGCTAGTGATTAATTGTAAAAGGTCAAAGATTGCAGATCTCCTAGTAAAATTGATTAAAAATATCAAATTCTCTTAGTGTGAGCAAATATCTTACTTGCTGCAGCAAAACTAATTACAACATGCAGGAGAAAAGTTTGTTTCCTGTTTAAAAGGGAAGGTTACAATTTAGAAATGTTTGGTAGCTCCCTAACTGAAAACGCCTTAGTTGGACCAGTTGGCTTTTCAGAATAGTTGTGTTTTAATCTAACAATAGGATGACATAATTGCCTGTTATGGAGCAGAAGTAGCGTATGTTTGAAATGTGAGTAGAATATGTTTAAAAAATGGCTTGTTCAATATGCAGGAATGTGTAATATTTTTTTTAAACTTAGCTAGCTAGAATACTTTTTAATGCTTTAACTCCAGTATTGCAATATTTATGTTATCAAGAAAGTACTGCTTTAAAAATACAATGGAACAAAATGATTAAACACGTCTTGTCCTGGTAGCTCATGTTTCCAACTTTAAAAGGAAAACTTTATGCAGTACTTAATATCTGCATACTCTTGTATTAGTTTCATGAATGTTGCAGGCAAGGTTCTTTGGGTAGATGTGATATCTTTTATAAGACCAAATGAGTAGTTGGAAAAAAGTTTTTTACAAGCTTTCAGGCGCAAACACCCTTCTTCAGGCATAGGAGTTGCAGAACAGCAGAGACTTCCTATAACTCCTATGCCTGAAGAAGGGTGTTTGCGCCTGAAAGCTTGTAAAAAACTTTTTTCCAACTACTCATTTGGTCTTATAAAAGATATCACATCTACCCAAAGTACCTTGCGTGCATATGCCCTTAGATCAGGGGCAGGCCTGCCAGGCCATTGTATCCAGCCTGCGGCGCCCCTAAAAAATGTAGTAAATTAATATTTATTTGCTCCTGGCTGCCTGTTAAAGATGACAGGAGGCAGGTAGTAGGGGAAGCCCACAGCAGGACTGAGCAACCAAGCCCCGCTCTACCCCCAGCCATTTCCCTGCCTTCCTGCTCCTGCACTGCTCCAGCACCACGGGCTCCTGGCTGCATTGCCAGATTGGGGAGCACGGGTCCGTGCGGGTACCCTGGAGCCAGAAGGTGGGGTGGAGAGTGTATGTAGGGAGGGGCAGAGTGTGTGTGTATCTCTTCATGTGTTCATAGGGTGAGTCCCCCCCACACACACACCCCCCACCATATACATACACCCACACCCCCCCTTGCATTACCATCCATGCAGACCCACATCCCCCCTGAGAAACCCCATACACATCTACACCCACACCCTCCCCCACACACTCACAGCCTCCCACTAACTTGTACTCACCCCCTGACAATGTACAAGAGTAAGACCTCATTTTAAGCTATTGTGCAATCACCCCCATGTACACTACACAAATGCATGTAAAGCAGGACAAAAATATGAAAATCAAATTAATGTTGTACATGTTTTCCTTTTAGAATATAATTTTGTATTTTTCTGGGTCCAAGGTGGCAAAACACCGTGCTGAAAAGAGTACTTCTGGGGGCAAGGGGAGGGACTTCTGGTGGCAAAGGTCAGGGGTTAGGGGGCAGGACTTCTGGTCACAAGATGGCAACCAGGGGACGAGACACTTGTCAAGGGGTGGGGCTACCTGTGAGGCCCTCAACCGCTTGCCAAAACTCAGTAAGCGGCCCTCCACCTGAAATAATTGCCTGCCCCTGCCTTAGACCAACACAGCTATCAAAACCCAGCTTTCATGAACGTTGTCATGTAATTCTTTGAGAAGTTATATCATTGTATGTGAAAATATTTGCTATAAAGTTATTTGGGCATTTTTATTACATAAGTTTTTTCTCTTGTTAAGGTAAGGTATTGTATAGGTGAGCTGGCTTCATGCATTCGCAGGGTATTATATTGAATTAGTCCATTTAGTGAAAATCATTTTGAAACACAGTTTGAATATCATAGGTAATAATGAATATTCAGTGAGGAACACAAAATAGTAGGGGTGCACCAATACAGATTTTGGGGGCCGATACTGATAGCCGATATTTAAGGAGATATATTGGCCGATACAGATCTAATTTCTGATACAGCTGCGTGCAGCTGTTAAGTCTGTTGCTGTGGGGAGAGGGGAGCAGATCAATGCCCCTCGCAGTGAGGGAGAGTGGTGGCAGAGGCTGGCACTGGGCTCTTCTCGGTGGGGGTGGGCTCAGGGCAGATGGTGACAGGACTGGGAAGGGACTACAGAGGATGCTGTAGCCACCTCAAATTTTGCCGTAGCCCCCCACCCCATAGCACCACTCCCAGCGACACTGTCACCCGCCTGGCACAGCCCTGAGTCTTCCCGGAACATGGGTGGAGGCGGGGGGTGAACCGAGGCTGTGCCAGGTAGGCGGCGGTGGTGGCACTGGGAGCAGTGATATGGTTGGGTCTACAGTGAAATTTGGGGTGGTTGCAACCCCCTCCATAGCCCCCTCCCAGCACTGCTGCCACCTACCACGAGCCCAGCCCTTGCCAAGAAGATCCTGGTGCAGCCCTGACTCAAGCCTGCAGCTGCAACCCACCCACACTGTGCAGATCTGGGGGCACATGCACCCCCCCCCCCCATGCCCTCCCAGAGTGCATGCAGCAAGGAGCAGGAGCTGCTCCCCCCACACCTCCAACAAGCTGCAGCTCTGTCCTGTGTCCCGCTCCACCCCAGCTGGGCAGCGTCCCCCCTCTCCCTCACTGCAGGGGGTGCTGATCTGCGTCCCCCCATCATGCCCCTTCCCTCCCCTTCCACTACAACAGACTTACCAGCTGCACGCTGCTGGGCTCTGCTCATCACTGCCTGCATGTTGCGTTGTGGCTGTGTGCTTGTCTGGGCTTATATTGGTCAAATTATGTGCCACTTCAGACCAATTTCCAATACAGCCAATTTTCTTTATATCGGTACCAATACACTATTGGACTGATGTGTCAGTGCAGCTCTACAAAATAGTAAGATGGTTAGGGTGCTGTAAGTATATCTAGGATGTGAAAAGCATATCAGAACAAGTACCAAATATTAACCTTTTAGAACTTTCTTGCCTAGGTTGTTAACGTTCTAAGATCTTTACTGGCTAACCTGGAAGAGGTTAAGAAGGGGAGAGAACAACTTGAGAATGACTTGAAATCAGTAAATTTCGACATGACAAGCAGATTTCTGACTGCACTTGCACAGGATGGGGCTATAAATGAGGAAGCCATTTCTGTTACTGAATTGGATCGGATTTATGGAAGTCACACACACAAAGTGCAGGAGTCCCTTCAAACGCAAGAAGAACTTCTCAAAAATATTCAGGTAAAAAATACTAACTATATATCGTCATGCAAGAGACAAACTCAGGAACACTGTTTCCTCTGTGTTCCAGTTCTGTAGACTTTATCCCTTTTCTCTCCATACAGGACTCTTACCATGGAGCCATGACTGCTTGTTTCATTGTTTGACAGAGTAGGTCCATTAATGAGCATGAAAAGACGCACCTTTTTTTCCTGCAGTAGTTTTGGTCAGAGTTCAGTATAAATGTTCTCAAGGCCTTCTTTGACTCTGTTTTAGCCGCATTGTGGTAGACTCCTTAAAAGAAGAAATCTTATGCAAACCCTTCTAGCAGAGCAAGAGATTTGTTTTACTCTAAATTAATAACCAAAAAAGGCATGTTTGGCCTGTGAGGTATAGTCTAGCTCACTCCTAAATAGCTCATTTTCTAGATGCTTGACTTAATCTTGAATCCTATTAATACATAAAATTTTACCAGTCTTACGCAAATAAAGGGCATGAGGTTTTCCAACTCTAATGCATGGTAAAAAGTCTCCCCCTACATTAACAGGGGAAGGAGGTAGTAGAAGGAAACCTGGTAAAAGAAGCAGTTTTGCTGATGTGGCAGAGTTGAACAGTCAGAGAATCACAGAAAATGGGCTGGAAGGAGAGGGACCTTTAGAGGTCATCTAGTTCAAAGCCCCACCAAGGGCTCCTAGTCTTACAGAAGTTTGCGGAACTGATGTTCTTCAAGCATTTAAGGTGATGCTTAACACCACTGATAAGGTGTGTTTAGGCCTAGAATCTAGCCAGCAGTGTCTTCTGGGGCATTGGCTGTATTGTAAATGTACTTGTTTCCTTCCTTCCCAAGGGTATAAAAGTCTGGAGCAGTCCTAACTGCCATTCATTGCCTCCTTAAAGCCCCCAGTAGCACAATGAAGCCTGTGCCTGAAAGTGGGCATGCTGAAGGTTTTTGTTTGTTTGTTTTTAATGGAGTAGTATATTTATGGGCAGACATTCAGTTTGTACATCTTTCTCTAAATGTGCTTTGGGAGCTATTAATGAGGGCATTAATAGGATCAATTCCATCAAATCCAGAGATGGCAAAATATCTTTTGACAATCAGTGGGTGTTCAGGAGCCTAAATAAGAGTTAAGCATTCAAATACCCTGATGAATCTGGCTCTAAACTTTTTTCACTTTGATTGAATGGAGTTACTTGTCTGTCAGTATCCAGTGGAAATGAGCCATGCTATGGGCTGTAAGATCTTTTTTATAGAAGTAGCATGTTTTAGGCTAAGATACAGACAACGCTTTTCTTCATGTTGGCTGGGTATAATCTTGTAAAAACTGTCCACAGTCTCAGCCTAATAGGTATAACTGCCTGTTTTGCTCTCTGCTACTTCCTTGTCTTGTGATTTTGAGAAGTGCTCCAACCCATACCCTTTAAAAAGGAAATAGATGCAGGGCTGTCATTTTTAGTTTTGTTTTAAATAGTTGGAGAACAATTCTCTTTTGAGGAGAAACAAAAAAAAAAAAAAAAAAAAAGTAACTGAAATGTAAAGCTGGGAAATTGTTTTGTGTCTATGCATGCCATATAAAACATCTCTTTACTTCAGTGTGCTCTCTTGTATTTTGCTGTTGAAAGATGTGAGGGGGTATTTGAGTTGGTCACAAGTTTATCAGAAATCTATCCTGTTTGAAGCACAACTACTTAATGCATAATGATTCAAGAAATCCTAATAGCAGTTCTTTTTAGTCATTTCATAAAGAACTTTGAATTTAGAAAAATAATGAAGCGCATTTTTTATTATTTTATACAGGGCTGTTCTTGGTGGGGAGACAGCCACTTCGGGCCCCGTGCTTTGGGTGCCCCGTAGAGCTGGGCGGAGTGGCTGTGGTGACGCTGCGCTACCGCCAGCTTCGCATCTGGCTGCTCACTACCCCCTCCCTGCCCCTCCCCGCCCGGATGCTTCTTTGCATCCAGGGTGTGTGGGGGCGGGGCCCTGTACAAGCTGATTTGCCCTAGGTCCCACACCCTGCTTGGGTCGGCTCTGATTATATGTTATCTCAAAACGTTTCTGTAGAAACGCAAAGTAGTGGTTAAATAGGTATTAGGCGTCTACAGAAGTTTCAGTATCTTTGGACGAGATTTATTTGTAACCTAGTAAACGTTTTTGCAATTTCTATATTATCTTTATAGGAGAGTTTTGAGAAGTTCCTTAGGTAGAGAAGGAGGAAAATGTTTCTTAATGGCAATGACATTCACATTTGCATTGCATATTTTAAATGCACACGTACCTTGGTTGTAATGCTTATAGTTCCTTTTAATTCTAACAGACATTGCTGTGTCAGTGTTTGAATGTCTCGGAATTGTAAATTTTAGAAATACTACTAATCTTCTAGACCCGTAAATATTTTTGTCTGTCTGGCAGAATGCGCATCAGGAATTTTCGAAGATGAAACAATCAAACAATGAATCTAATTTAAGAGAAGAAGTTTTGAAGAATTTAGCTGTAGCGAATGACAACTTTGTGGAACTTTTAGCCAATTTAAAAGAAGGCACAAAGGTATAGTGACACTTAACAAGCCTGAAAGGTTGCACAGTTTTGTATGCAGAAAACTTTTTGCGAGCAATAAATGACATGAATGCCAGATTGTGTACCTTCTTAGTACTTTGACTCAACTGCTTTTAATCTTTGATGTGCGGGTACCCAAATATAAGTTTGAGTTTTTGCTGTAGTTGGAATTTTTTGTTCTTTTAATGTAAAGACTCAAAGTTTTATGAATCAAAGTTGAAAAGTCCAGAAAGCAAGTGCTAGAATATTGACTGCAGGAATTACAATTATTCTGATTTCAAATGTTATCAATCTGTTGTATTCACTCAAATATAAGACAGCCCCCCAATAATTAGATTCTATATATGCATAATTTAGCCATTTATTAGATTCTATAGCTGGAAAGATATAATTATTGGAGTTTTGCCTTGAATTTGTTCCCCTCCCACTGCTATAGCAGGGAAAATAAATCTGGGGCATTAGGTAGCCCCTTTGCTTTCTGCTTCCCCACCAACATTTTCCCTTGACAGCCCCTTCCCCCTCGCCTTACTATCAGACCCTGCTCTCCTGAGCACATGGAATTGAGGAGCAAACCTGTAAACAATAACTTTGAAATTAAACGTAACTGTAGCAATTTGCATATAGGTCCCATACGCTTAGTTCATCCAGAAATTGATGCACGTTACCTTTTTTTTTCTTTTTTTCTTTTGAAACTGCTGCAAGTTTTAGCACAGGCACTCAATAAACACACTTTTGAGCAGCACTTTAGCACCTACTTACATGTAGTATAAATTATGCATAACATTAGTCCAAAGCCAAAAGGCTTTTGATTTTACCAGTTCAGCTGGGCCCCAGCAGAATCAAAAGCATTTCAGGCTATGATGACCACACAGCTCAGCACTGCTCAGTATGTGTGCATACCCCAGATGCACTCCCCCCTTCCCCCCTCCCCTGCCTCTCCCAAAAAAGATATATTCACTAAGTAACACCTGGGACCAGGTATTCTTGTTGCGAGTCCTGGGATGCTCCAAAAACTTGTATGCAGATGAGGATCAGGGCAGCCTGGTTCTGGCTTTACATCATGGAGGGTGGGGCCATGCTCAGCACCAGGCTGAGAGGGGGTGACAGAGGGATTCTGGGTAAATTGTTTGGGGCCCTGTTTGGTGATGCATGCCATGCATTTAAGGCTGGTGAAGAAATAGAAATGATTGGAAATGGGAAACAGAGGTGCAGTTCAGCTGTGGGAGTTGAGAGCAAGTTGAGATGTATTCACTGTAGTGGCTCACCATGACTTAAGAGTCAGGGCTGAGGGGTACTGTATTTAATAAGCACTATCATATGTCTTATTCAGATAGGCTAAACTAACTTATCCTTATGGTAGATTCGCATCAGCATTTTTGGCACCAGGGGAAGATGATGGAACTTGCTCTGGCCTCTCCAAGTGCTGGCCTAGTCTTGTAGTACCCTGAGGCCTGGTAGACCAGTTCCCTCCAGAGGAAACACCTGCCCATTTTTTGTTTTTGTTTTGTTGTGTACCAAAAAAAAAAAAGGGTTCCCATTAGCATTTTTTTTTTATAGTGTGGGCATGTATCTTATAGTTATGCTTAGTGTTGGCTGCATTTAATCAACTTCTTTGTTGGTTTCCATTACTGAATACATGCTGCTTTTGGCAGCAGTTTAACGATAAGACACAGTATTTAGTGAGATTTCCTTGTATGTTGTTATAAGACTGGAGGCTTCCCTTCCCACGCTGATGGGGAGGGGGCAATCTCATCATGTATTTGAGTAAATATAGTAGTTCTGATTAAATTGAAAGCTGTATATGTAAGTGGAAAAAAGTATTTCTAAAGTTTGTGTTTGTTCTGACTAGAGAAATGCAGTTGTATGGAGTAGCTGATATAATCCAGAGCATTCCAGACCAAGAGCAAATGCATCCTTTTATTCTTGTTTGAGATTTTTACTAAACTCACAGATTCACATAACTCACATAATATGCCTCTTCATATTAAAATGGTTTCATTGCAACAAGTTAACTTTCTTCTCCTGTAGTTCTACAATGAATTGACAGAAATTCTGGTGAAATTCCAAACCAAATGCAGTGACATTGTTTTTGCTCGCAAGACTGAAAGAGAAGAACTTCTAAAGTAAGATTCTTGTATTCTTCTTCTATAAATCTTTAAAAAAAACTACCAGTTGCTCATAATTGAGCACTATGGATCTTCTTACAAAGGTACTTTTGAAAGGAAAAAGGAAGGATGCATTTCTGGGTAAAGCATGGCTCTAGTTTGTTTGTTTTGTTTTGTCTTGGGTTTTTTTGCCTTTAGCATATAAAATTAACTCAAGATTTACCAAAATGGTGCCAAAAACGGACAGGTAAGTATATAATTTCCAGCCTTCCTGTTCAGTCTCTTATCCTAGGTTTGTTTGTTTATTTGTTTGTTTGTTTTACGGATGTTTCAGCAAGTCTTCAGTGGTTTCCAACTTTCTTGAGTTTATTTCTGCTATGCTTTTTATGTGTGGGTACCATAGCTAAGTGCTTCAAGGTGGAAGCTGCTGCTGATCAGCTGTAGTCAGGAAGTGATCTTTCTCCTCTGTGTAATAAAGAGAACTTAATGCTTCCTGTTCAGTTTGGAGTATTATGGGCTATTCAGCATTGTCAAGTGCTGGAGACAGAATACTGGACTTCTTTTGCAACTTGATTTTGTGTTAGAATTCATGTTTTCATGTAGATTAAAACTTTACATGTTTGGAGCAAGTAATTTTTAGTTTAAACCTGCAGGTTAGGTGGTATATAGCTATATCTGTGCTGTTTACATGATCTGGCTACTACAGTAATATACTTTGAAGATCATGAGTTCTGAGCCATTATCTTCTCTAAGAAGAGAGTGAAAGTTCCTACCTTTTGTAGAATTCCAGGTGTCTTTGAACCAGATAACTTTATTTAATTAGCAACACACTTTTTACTGGCATTTTTACTTGGAGAAACTTTTTAATCAATATGAAATATTTTTCTCTTTATTTATATGGAAATTCTGATTAAAATTGAATTCTTAACCTATAATCACCTTACAACCAGAAAAAAAAGATCTTAAAGTTCCTTCACTATTTGTAAGGGGGGTGGGGAAGAAGGGAGGCCAGTTCATTAAGTTTTATGTCTGACTGTCTCACCTTTTGGTCAGCTAATACTTAGGTTGGTACTTGGGTTCAAATTTTTTTTTTTTTGTCATTAGCATTTAGTGGGTACTTTAGTGTCCCTGGTACTGTTATTTCATGTATTAACTGTTTTTTGCCATACAACTGTAGTTAGGCAAGAGTAGGATAGTTGTAACCATTGGAATATTTGTCACATATCTCCACTAAAAATACTTTAGGATTCCCAGTTGAGTAAATAAATTCATTTTTCAGCATATAAAGTTTCCACAGTGGACAGTTTACATTTTTACCCCTTTCTTGTTTTTTGATTTTTCTCCTTCACTTTACTGTAGTTGTTTTTTTTTTTTTTCTTTTTCTTCTCTTAAGTGGTCTGGCTACTAATTGACAGGTCTTGTTCTCACTTTTCTGAGCTGACCATCATACTTGTTAAAGTATGAAACTCTGCTTTATTATTAACTAGACTGGGAAGAATGATGTAGCTTTATTTTTGTCATTTTTCTACTTTAAAATATCAGCTTTCTATTTGTGACATTTTTATGCTTACATTTATATATTATAATGCCATGCGAAATAGACTTTCTGTATAAAATGTTGAATGCTTTCCAAAGTCTTTGTACAAACTGCCAAATCTAAAACCTTAATATATTGTTAAGTGATACAAACTGCATTCTCAGTTTTTATTAAAAAAAAAACAAAAAAAAACCCGGAATTTTTCAGGGTTTATCTTTGAAACCTAAAAACCGGGATGAAATCAGGGTAAACAGAAAAAAAGGAAGAAAATCAGTTTAAATTGGGGAAAAATTGGTGGTGAGGGAGGGGAGGGAGTAAGGCTGGGACTAGGGAAGGGACCTGGGGAGGGGCACAGAACAGCCCATTGGCCGCTTCTGGGGTTGTAGCAGGGAGCAAAGCAGGAGGAGCTGTCGATGGGTGTGGGGCAGGTGGGGAACGGTTCTTGCTGCTGTGAACCCCTGGGACGGCTGTGGGCTGGGGGGCCTGTCAGGCTTTTCCTGCGGGGCGCATGCCCCCAGATCAGTGGCAGGAATTCCATGGTGCCACGCCCTGCCTTTCTTCCCTGGCTGTGTTTGCACCCCTCCCCCCTGCTGCCGCAGCCTGCTGCTGGGCTGCTCTGGTGTTTGGGGGGAGGGGAGGAGTGGCATGTGGCCAGATTTGGTTGTGGGGGGGAAGCAGCACTGGTACCACCCGCCCTGTCCGGGGTCAGAGCTCGGGGCCCCCCAGGCAGCGGCTCTAGCCCTGTGGGCCTATGCAGAGTGCTTGGGTGCAGTGCCCACCTCAGGGAGTGGGACTAGGCTCCCCTGCCTGCCCCCTCCCCAGGGGGCATCACAGCTCCCAGCACCTGGGAAACTGTGGAAGCCAGAGCCACTGGGGTGCAGCTTGGGCCCACCCCACCCGGAGTCAGAGTCGGGGAATTTATCAGTGAAAATATGTAAAAACTGAGAATGCGGAACACTAGGGATACACTATATTGCTCAGAAGGTCTGACTATGAATTTCAGAGAGATGTTAATCTTAAAGAAAGGGCATTCTTTGGTGTTGCTTCAATATCCAAATCCTTACCTGTCCTACAGATGCTTGACTGATTAAAGAAAAATTCAAACTGTAGCAATGACAGGCTAAAAAACAAGAGTGCTCATACATGCAGGCCTCTTAGTCTGTAATATTTCAGTGGGTTTTTTCCTTTGCTTCATTTTTTTTTTTACAAAAGATAATTTTTTATCGTATTATGAAAGAGAGTTTTATTGAATGTATTTTTCCTATTCTAAAATAGTTCTTTAATCTGCAAAAGCGATATAAGATTATTTTTATCCCTTTGTTTAGTTTTGAAGCTGCTTATGCCTAAAATTTTCTCAAAGTTTCTGAAAACATTAGTTTTTTTTTTTCTAGGATTTCCCCCTCCCCCCATTGGTCTGATTTCTGTAAGAATATCAAAGAGTGATTGCACTTTTTCTGAGCTCCAGTGGGAATTATCAGTACAAGTAAATCAAAAGATAGGCTGGAGAAGGGATATATAACAGTGGGATTATTCCTCAGCCAGAAATGGGTCCAACTCCAACTTTAGTATGTCAGTTTACTGTTGTACTTTAAAACAATACATGGACATAGCTAATTCCTTTCTTGCCACAAAAGTTTAATGAACAAACAATATAAAATGACTTTTAATATCTAAATTGTGCTTTTCCTTTTTAAAACAGAGACTTGCAGCAAAGCATTGCAAGAGAACCCAGTGCTCCCTCTATTCCATCACAGCCTGCATATCAGACCATGCCTGCAGGAGGAAGCAAACCAGTTTCATCAACTACTCCAACTCCTGCACCCAGAACTATGGTGGTAAATAAACGCTTTAATGTTAATGAGGTTACAAAGAATGTTCCATAACTTTTAAATTGAATATTTATTATAATTTTAGCACATCTGTCTCTAATGTACTAAGATCCTACAATTTAATTTATATTCCTGAATAGAGGTAAAAGAATAAAGAATATTCAGGAAAATAAGGTGGTATTGATGGCCACATTTTAATTACAATCTCTGTTTTACTAACTTTCAGTTTATTTGTAACTTTTAAAAAATATTTGAATTAAGCAGTTATATAGCATCACAAACAAAACATTATTTAAAAAAATGCTGCCTTGAAAATCTTGGTCTAATTCTCAGTCTCTCATTCTTTTAGCCTAGTAATAAACCACAACCACCAGCACGCCCTCCACCACCAATGATTTCTTCAGCAAATACATCCTCCTCTTCTGCACCGGCGGCCACTGGAGCTACTGCTTCTCCAGCAGCACCAGCAGCTGGCTCGTCCGCAGCTGGTGGTACACCATCACAGGCACAAGGACCTCCTTATCCCACTTATCAAGGATACCCAGGGTAAGCTGAATAAGTCTGATGTATTTGTATGTTGCACTACAGGTATGTATGATAAACAAAATGATAGTACACAAAAGGTGCTTACTTGTTAAATGAGAGTAAAATTCAGATAAGCTGCTATCACTAAAGCCATTGGGTATTTTTGTCTGCTGTAGTTCAGATCTCACGCTTCTCTGATTTTATGTCATCTTCCCTGTAGACACCATTTTAATGTAGGTCAGCAATTCTGAAAGGTGGTCTGCAAACCACTGAAAGTCGTTGCATGGCTGATCTGGGACTTTCTGTTTTTCATATTGCATCTGCATGTAAAATATATTTAAATAGAATTTTCTGGACCTGAAACTGTCTTTTCTATTAGCAGAATTGGTTTAATCTAATTATAGTTCATTTTTATTTGGCTCTGTAAGGATATTAATTTTGCCACCCCCTACTCACCCAAGACGTAGTATGTGGAGTGGAAACATTTAAAATGCTCCTATCCTAATTTTGATTTTGAGTGTAGCAGGTACAAATGGATTTAATGGCTCTCAGTTCTGCTTTGGAATCATAAGGGCTTTTCTCCCTTCTGTGTGTCTGTCTGTACCTGTCGCTGTTAATTACATCTGCATGTTGAAGTGATAATCTCTTGTAGTGATCTGTTTGGTTAATGAGCTTGTAAGATGCAGCTTTTACAAAATATGCAATGAAGCATTGATATAGGCTGCACATGTTTGGAAACACTTTACATGCTCTACTATTTTCAAAATTAGTACAGTTTAGTTTTAGAACTTGATTTAATCTTTTTAGGGACTTGTCTGTTTTTTGACCTGGGGGCCTCCTGGGGCTGCAGCAGTGGCAATCCTGCCACTTGGAGCCTGGCTGGCAGCAGGAGCATGGCTCCAGCTGGCCAGGCTCCGGTTTTGGGTGGTGTGTGCTGCTCCTGCATACGCTGCTTTGGTTTTTACTTTGCACAGATATCCAGGGTCAAACCGCCCCCCTCCCCGGTGCTGCTCCCTTGCAATGTGGAGAACACTTGCATGTGTGGTAATTCAGATGCGCCTGTGATGCCACATACTGCAGGACTGTGCTCATCTGGACACAGCCTTTGAGTCTTGCTGAAGAAGAGAATGTGCTTTAGGGAAAAACATGAAGATACTATCCAGGGAAGAAGGAAGCCTTTTTTTACTTCTCCCTGTTGCTACACAGGCAAAGCTGTCAGGAAAGCAAAGAAGAGGATTTCCAGCATCCTCACTTTCTGTGAACAGAACTAGCAACATGTATAGGCTTCTTTAGTAGCCTTTTGTCTTCCTCCCATTGTTATGATTGTTTTGTAGCTCCTCTCAGGGCTCTAGATATGAGTGGAAGGGGAGAATACAGGCAGTCCTTGACTTGCAGCGTTTTGAGTTACAACGTTTCGCACTTATAATGTTTATAAATTGATACCCTGTTGACAACAAGTTCTCTGCGTTGCTCATCTCCCTGGAGAACATCTGTCCAAACTTCCTTGGACGAGAACCGCTCAAAAAGTCCAACCAAGACCCTTTCAAAAACTCCAGCAAAGTAACCTCAAACAAGTCCTTCCAAATCAATATGATTGCTGTTTACAATATAAATACGTTAATGTAACTATATTACTCATCTATAGTTGATTGAGTACAAAATTCTGAGGTATTTTTAGTGAAAATAGGGTATCGGGCCTCGGTTCAGGAACCAATCCCCCATTTATAGCATTGTATCCTATGGGAAAATTGGTTCTGAGTTGCAGTGTTTCGACTTAAGATGCTGTTTTCCAGAACTAATTATGTCGTGAATCCGAGGACTGCCTGTAATTAAAAAGCAGCTGGAGACTGTGAAAGGAGAAGAAGCTAGTAAGAAAATCTTGAGTGACCACACAGAATGAGACTTCTTTCTCAGCTATCCAGGAACATTGTCACAAGTCAGCTGTTGGTGCCTGCTCTGCAAATATCCTGGGAAATTACTACTACTTCTGCCTTTCTTTCCACCTTAGAGTGATCAGAGGGTAAAGGGTATCTCTATTTCTCAGTGGGGAGCTCTTTCTGTCCTCCCACATAGGGCACAGTATTCTTAGCAGCAACTATGTTGTCTCAGGGCTGGTCAGCATACTGTCCCCTCTAATCAGCAAGTTGGTAAGGTCTGAAAATGCTCATGTCATTTAACAATGTTAAATTTGACATTTCTAGGAGAGATTTTTTTGGCTTAAAGTGCAAGGTCCTTCTAATTCTCAAAAGCTGTTGTCTTTAAACTTTTTCCCTACTGTATTGATCCTGAAATGTTGGGCAGTTAGTAAATTCTGTAAAGGTAGAGACTGTCTGTCATGATTGCCTATCTTATTTCCTTTACTAGTACATCTTAATTCTTCAAGTTCTTAATTTTCCCATTTAACAGTTAATGGATGTTGTTTTCACAGGTACTGCCAGATGCCAATGCCAATGGGCTACAACCCTTACATGTATGGCCAGTATACTATGCCATATGCCCCTTCACCTATGTATCCAAACCCTGGACAAGCACCGTATCCAGCTCCTCAACAGCCTGGATATCCTTACCCTCAACAGCCTTATTACCCACAGCAGTAACAAGTCTGTGAAGAAACTATGCTTGTTTTAAATTTGAAAGAAACTTGCAATAAGCATACTAAAACTTTAGCTCCAGTTAATGTATCTTACTGAATGCAGTCTGTAACTCCTATCTATTGTTAATGCTCAAACATGTCTAGATCAGTTTCTGATTAAGCTAAACATCTTGAGAGATTTGTTGCTGCTGCTGCTGCAGTCCAACATTAGGCATGATGTAAGAATTAAATTACTGCATAATTCAACGGTGTGAAACTGTACACTCACTTAAACTAGACCAAATATTTCTTTTCAGAAATCTTATAAATAGATCATTGGGATTTGACATGAAGTGCTGAAAACTGGGTGTGATATATTCTATGGAACTACATAGGGTTTCCTTCTATATTCTATTGGTTTGTATTTTTTGAGTTTAGTTACAATATGCTATTTTGTCTAATACTCAAGGCCTTGTAAATCATAAGCAGAAAAAATAAATACATTACTTAAGAATGGTTTACACACTTGTTCTCATTACTGTAAAACATACTTTGTGTGCCTCTGGTTCTGGTTCTTTTCATTTGCACTGGTTTATAAAATGGAAGTGGCCTCTCCCATACTTAACACTGGAACAGTTTCAAATATGCTGCCCTTTTTCCTTTACCCTGCCCAAATCTGCAAACCAACAATGAATTGGACAACGCGTTTGAGTTTTGACACCCTAAAATAGGTGTTCATTACAGTTCAAAATTTTAACTTTTTTTTTTTTTTTTGCAGCCACATGGCCCAATAGTCCCTAAAATACAGGAAGAGAGTAAACAATTTATTACAGTCATCTGTTAAAGATTCAAGGTGTTGGGACCAAGAAGTAGGTTGAACCAACTCAGCTTCTCAAAACAGAAGATACTTTGTAATGTTTAATGCCTCATCTGCTCAGGCATATAGAATCTAATGACTCTTGGAGGATCTCATTTTTCATATTTTGTGGGAAAACTTTGCCTTTTTTCTTTCAGAAATGCATCAAAATATGAAGTTAAGAGCTTATCAGTGAAGAAATTTCAGGTCACTTGGAAAAAAAATCGTTTTTGTAAACTAACATGTTAAATAGTGGTAGACTTCACAGAAAAGTCCTTTAATACCTATTTTACTTTATGAAAATAGATGCTAGAGTTGTTTTAGAATTGAGCTAACTGAGAGTTGACCTGATGTGGGATAACATACTATACTTTTGCCTTTGGCTGTGGTTTGGTTAATATTCCTGTTTGGGAACAGTAATGGATATTTTTCCAACCTTTCTTCTCTTTGCATGCTCCGCACACCAGCAGTAGTTCATAAATTTACATAGTAAACCTTCTGTGGTAAAAAGCTTCCATATACATAAATTAGTCATGAATTAGGTTACACTGGTTAACTAGTCACTATAAATGTGATACTGATGGTTAAATTATACTGCTAGGAGCAAGTCAGTGGCTACCACGGCTACTTCTATACAAGCATAGATCTTTGACTTCTAATATTTACCTCTTTAATCGGTGCATGTAGTACTTTGCCCCAATTCTCTTGTAATACTAGTTGTGACATGGTTGCACATAAATCATTGGTAGCTTCAGTGGTATGACTCTGGTGGGGGAAGGATTTAAAAATGGATTTTTATATATTTTTAATATCCTAGGAATAGAGGGAGAATATTTCATATTATGTGACTGAACTTGCTCACGGTTCAGTAGATGCAAGAATCTTTTGAGGAATGTTGTGATGCCCAGTCTCTGTAACAGAAGGTGAGTGCTGGCTCCACCAGGTGCCCTGTCCCTGTCTCAGTCCTTGCATCCTGGCAACGTTCCCTAGGTCTGGAAGCATTGAAGGAGTAGGGGGAACAAGCTGTGCTTGGCCATCCCTGTGCTTCAAGCAGTGTGCCCTGCTCATGGTGAATAGCCTGGCTCCTTGCCCCTCTCCTCTCATGATGTTAGAGCTGGTGGGAGAGGCCACAAGGAATGCAGAGGCTGCATTCACTCTTTCAGGTACAGACTGGGCATAGGGAGAGCAAGATATAGAAGGGTCCCACCTCTGCATCAGTAGCTATTGTTTCCTCCTGTAGGGACAGCTGCTTTCTACAGGGATCCAAAGATTCCATCCCCAAGCTCCTCAATCTGCACTACTTAGCAGCCCCTGCCACCCTATGCACTGCCATACTTTTAGGGGTGCCCTCCCGCCCCATGAGAACCTTTTAAGGGTGCCACAGGGTGTGAGAAGGTAAGCACCATAGGAAAAATAATCTTTTAAGTTGGGTGCTACTAAATTGTGTTTAAGTTTCAGGGCTGCCCTAAGTCTTGACGGTTGAGAACCACTGAACTAGGGTGATGGAAAAAGGCCCATAAAGGTCACTGCTGCTGACAGTTTTTCAGCATTAAAGGGAGCAGATGTGACTTTACTGACAGGAGCAGAGTCAGTACTAGGTCAGTTAATTTAAACACTAATATTTTTTATTCAGTGATCTTTCAAGACTTAGTGGGAGTAACACTTAATGTAGCTGTAGTTTAGGAAAATATCTTGGAAAAACATAAAGATTTTGGACTTATTTCTGTTTTCTTAGTGAAGGGGGGCCTGACAGCAGTTTGTTATGACAAACTAATCTTTTACTGAAAGTAGTAAGTAAATGCTCATTTGGCATCTGCCTTGATTTTAGCATTAAGAAAATTTATTTCTTAATGCCATTCATTAATGGAGAATGTGTTTGAAATACAGCATCTCTTACTTGTGGCTCAATTCATAAACTCAGTGGAAATGCTTACCTCTTGGTTACAATTTTTTATAGTGGCCCCAATCAGAAATAGTACCATTTTGTCAAAGGTTCCATACAAATATATATGATGACATATTCTCTTCCAAAGAACTTAATGTAAGTCACACCCATGAGTGGGCTTAATATCTGCCTACGAAAGTCGTATTCATGTGTAGAACATACTTTCTGTATTAATAGCACTATTGCATAACAACCTCTACTTTTAAATATTCCTCTACACCAGTGGTTGAGAGCCACTGAGGTTAGATGAGTCAGTACAACAGTGATTTTTCAACAAGGGTGCTGCCAAATTCAAGGAAGTTGTGGAGGAGTGCCTTGAATCTAAGAAGTGTAAGAACCACTGCTTTGTGCACCTCTCTCTTTCAGTGCAAGATATCTGTAGAAATAATACAGCACTGTAAGAATCCCATCTGAGCACAGCTCTAGAAATGACTTCTGAAACTACTGACAAGCACTTTTTGTTCTGTCTAGCCTGGTAGGAAGATCGTATTAAGGGCCTTTCTACATTGGCAGGTAAAGGTGTGATAAGATTATGTGCAATCCACACAACTGTGCCTCCTGCCATGCCACACATGCCCCTGCAGTGGCAAGAAGTGATCTCTTGCAGCTGGGAGCCCCTGTAGCTGATGGATCTTTCACCTGCAGGGGTGCCTCATGCACCCCTGTGGCTTAGAGAGTGAAGCAGCACCCTATGGCTACTAGGATTGAGTCCCGTAGGTGGGTCTCAGTAGCACCCCATGACTGCTGGGACCCAGAGTCCACAGGTGCCGGGTACTGCTGGGGCTGAGAGCCTCCTCAACTGTGGGACTTACAGCCTCAGCTGCACATGGCACACCCCTGTAGCTGGGAGCCTGATCAGCTGAAGGAGCTCCCAGCTGCAGAGGCAGACCCTGTTATATGTGCTAATTAAAGCCCAATAGCAACTAGCTATAAAGTTATGCATTTTGCAGCAGTAACTTTATAGCTGGTTGGACCTTTTATGGAGTGATAGTTAATTTGAACATGTAGCCAGATTAAATTGCGCAGTTAACCTGGTAATTGTTAGTTCTTGCCAAAAAATTCAGCTCTACCTGATCCTGATTGAATTTGCTGAATAGTTTCACCTAAAAAAATATTCAGGCTAGCTTTTTTACAAATCTGTGAAAAAGAGAAGAGGGATCTTTTACTCAACATCTCTGTGGTTAGGGCATTTACTTAGGATGTTGGGGAGTGAAGTTTAAATCTC